AGATCAAACAAAAGATACTATTAATAGAATATAACAAGAAATTCAAGGAATCCTATCAAATTTGGGAAAAAAGTTAATAACAGACGAGCACATGGAATATATTATTAATAGAGTCCTAATATCAAGAATAGAATACAAAATACAATACAGTTCAATTAACTTTTATATAGCCAATCATCTCTCAGCACAATTAAGAAAAGTACTTAAAAGAGTAGCCCACATAACGGAAACAATTCCCAACTCTGTGATACACTACAAACTCTTTTACAAAATTAAAAGTATAGAGGAGATACAGCTAGAGAACCAAATCACCAACTTCGTGTACAGATTGAATAACCACAACCACTCATGTAAATTAACCCTAATCAGACTTAAACAAGCACAAATACAACATTGGGAGTTAACAAATCTTTTTACTGAAAATACTGCCAACAACAATTACAAAAGAAACCTCTTAGTACAAATACTCAAGGCAGTAAACAAAATGGAAATTATGTTTCCAGACTCTCAATGGACAAATATATTTCAATGGAAAGGAGAAAATATAACAATCAAAACTCTTCTAAATAGTCCTTTCTCTTATAGCAAAGCAACAAAGTCCTTAAGAAAACACAACATCATATTTGTAGATCAGCTAATAGACAAGAAATTCAATATGCTCCTAAACTGAAAAATATTACAATTTCCAAAAAATCAATAACAAGGACCTACACCAACATGGTACCAATCAATAAAAAAAATATTAACAAATGATTATGATATTCTCAAGCAAAAATAATTGGAATACAATTGGATACCTCAAATTAGATTACTTTTTTTTTTTTTTTTTTGCGAATGGGCATTAAATGCGAGACTTTTATTAAATATGAAATATTTACTGTCATTACATTAACAATCTTTACAAAGTAAATTAATTGTAGCCTATCACAATTTTTACCAGAATACCAACTAACACTATGGAGGTGGGTTTATACCCTAGTTTATACTATTTCTTCCTACTTGTAAATATGAGATAAGAAAAATCCTGTCTAACAGTTGAAAAACCTTTCTAGCGGTCCCCTTTTCGGCTTATGACCCTACTCTCTTCCAATTGGGTCACCAATCCGAGTTGCGCCAACATCAAGTAGGATAGTAGGGATCTACCTGCGATATACGAAGTCTGTCATGCCAGTTTGGGAAAATTGACTAATTGGATACAACTTATTCAGGAAGCCATTCAACCTGAATAGGAGGTGATGCTACGAAATCTGTCGTGCCAGTTGGGGTTGTAGGCTTATACCAAAGTTAGACCAGAAGCCTTGTCTCATGCAACCTTTCCTTCTTCGACCTGTTTTCAGCCCGTGATCGTCAGAAAGACCAGAGGTCCCATTTTCATACAGCCTAGCTTAATTTGTAAGTAATTTTTGGCTGATTGAGTACAACATATATTGAAAGCCAGTCAACCAATCATGAAGGTGGCAAATTTTTGTAACCAGGTGGGTTTGAACCCTAGACCTTTCAAGATAGATTACTTTTTATACTTAATGAAAACATAAACTATAGGAAATGGAATTGGCAACTAAATACAAATAAAGATAAAAAACAAAAACTGGTCTGGTTCAGAAGTAGAAATGTATAAGCAACAAACAATTGAAACACAGAATACTTTTAGATTGAAGTGAAAAAAAATCTAAACACAACCAAGTTCACAAAGGTTGAAGCTAATCAAGAACAAGCCAACAAAAATCTTGCACTTACTATCAACTGGATAAATAAGATCACCAAATACAGAAAAAACAAAGAGCCATTAATATCAATTAAAACATACAGTATATATTAGAAAGTCAAATCAAAACAAAATTGAAAAAACTTTGCTTAAGAAATATAAACACATCCAAACTTTAATATGTTGAGATAAAATACTATAATATATAGATAATTCAAGATAATATAAAGTCAGAAGAATACTGAAAATGGCTATATACAGAATATAGACTTAATATGAATTAGAACAAAGAAAACATTTATCAATTTTATATAGACGGAATCATAAGCAAAACATTATATCAGTCCACAAAGATGGGAGCAGCATGGCTTTAAACAGAAGGACTGAATTCAGGAAGAATGTTCCAAACAGAAGTTGGTAGCTGGCCCTCTTCAACAAGAGCAGAACTAGTAGCAATTCTTCTGACAGTGATAACTATACCAAACGATAGAAGGGTGGAAATCAAAATAGATAGTGCCAACTGTATTAATACTTTCACAAAGCTAAGCAAATTCCATCCCAAAGAGACACTAAGAAGATAAATGAAAATACTAAACTGGTAGCTATGGTTAAGACTAATGAACACAGTCACAAGGAAAAGAATCTAACTGAAACTTACCAAAGTTAAAGCCCACAGCAAAGACGCACTAAAAGACCAAGTAGATCAATTAGCCAAAGTAGCAAAAGAAAAGCCAGTAATCATATGGAAACTATTGTCAACAATAATTCCAATCACAGTATCAGAATGAAACATGATCTCCATAAACATCTTGATTAGAGAATTTATTAAAGATATCAACATGAAAGAGATCTTAATACAATGGGCATCCCTTAACAGAATACAACAGAGATAGAAAAAGGAGATAGCAAACCATAACAAAATTGATTGGAGAGATTTTTGGCAATATAACAATAACAAAGAATCACTAACTACCTCATTCAAATAAATGAAAAAAAAAATATTCAAAATCAAGCTCTTACATAATGAACTGCCAACCTTGGATAATCTAGTTAAATGAAACACTCAAGAACTAGTAGAAAATATCAAATGTATCTTTTGTCTAGATTATGAAGAAATAGTAGATCACTTGACAACTTGCAACAAACTTCAAAAAGAAAAAAACAAGATATGGGAAAATATCCTTAACAAGTTATGTGTATCCTGAATCACAAAACACATCAACAAAGATAAGAAGAAAGCCAAATGAAATCTAATACCAATTTATAGAATAATGAAAAGATGAAAAGTTGAAAAATTGTCTTCAGCAAAAGAACTAATAAACATCAGTATAAAATTGTGGATGAAAGAAGAAACACTAGAGTGAACTCAAATATATCATATACTCAACATACATAAAGCAGCAGCCTGAAAGATCTTAAACAAAATATCTTAAGACTGGAATAATAAGTTTCGTCAACAAATCTGGAATACAAAATGTGAAAAAATTTATAACTGAAAGAAAACATATGACAAAGAAAAAGAAAGACAGGCAGATTACAACCTGAGGATATCAAAGGGAGTCTTCAAGTCCAAGGAGAAATACAGATCACAGGAAAAAAAAAAGGAGACAATAACAATACCAGCAGTTACAAGCCTAGCAACCAAAGGTAACAAGATTTCGGAAATTCTTATACAGACCTTATAAAACAAGATAAAGAAGGAAACTAAATGATTAGAAATATAAAGTAATCAAGATTTTGCCAAGGTGAACTGTAGTGATAAACTGTAGGCAATGAACTCAAATTCTTTTAAAAACAGAGAAAATAAGTAAGCAACATTATTCATCTCCAAGATCATACTTAGAGATTAACAATCAGAGGCAGATATTCAAGTATTAGCTTAGTTTATATATAAAAGTTTCACACTTGTATGTTTTCAACTCTAATAATTAAATAAATATAATAAATACTTGTTTGATTATGGAAAAAAAAAAATAAATATACTTCTTATCTCTTGTGAATATTAAACTAAAAATATATGTTTGGAGACCTGGAAGTATTATCTACTATGCTATTGATCTATAAATCTTATATTTATTAAATTTTATTATTAAAATATTTAATTAAATTATTGAACTTTTCAATATTAGAATTTTTAATATTAAAATTTATTATTTTTATTGTCGGATTTTTAATTTTTTTGTAAATTTTTATTATCAAATATTTTTTAATTTGCCTATATTATTATTATTAAATTTTATAAATTATTTATTAATAAATATTTTTTAATTACAAATGTTTTATTAATGAATTTTTTTTTTAATTATTAAATATTTTTTTATTATTATTAAATTTTGTATTTTATTATCAAATTAACATATGTTTTTTAAATGTCAAGTGGTATAAATTGAATTAAACAATAAAACTTTAGTATAAATTTTTATTAATAAATTTGAATTTAATTAACTATAATTTAACAGTTGAAGAATATAAATATAGTAAAAATAATTTGATGTTTTTATAAAAAATTTTAAATTTATATAAATTTGCTATTATATTTTTATTTCATGTTTAAATTTTATAAAACAAAAGTAATTGTAATATATTTTATATTTTTTTTGCTTTTAATATATAAGATTTTAAATATAAATTTTTTGTCTCATACTGTCTAAATATTATTATATTATATTGTTATTAGTTATTTAATTATAAGCTAAAATAAAAGTTCAAAAACTTTTGCACCAGATTGTATTATTATTTACATATTAAAAATATTTATTATTATTTTTATAATTTAATTGCAGTATAAAATAAACAATAATTTGCAATAAATAATTTATAAATTATCAAATCTGTTTCTTTTTGCCAAAACAAAAATCATAAACTATTGATTATTAAATAACTATGTTATCTATATTACTTTCATATATTAGCATAGTTAATAAAAATACCCAACAATGTTTGTAATGATTAATGTTTTCGATCTTAATTGACAGATTTCTCAATAATATTAATCACGACATTAATACACACGCTATATTAAATTTATAAATTAATCATTCCACAAAACCTTGTATTCAAGCATACTACTCCTTGCATAATGATTATCATGCTCTTTACATTGATTCTATAATCACATTGTGGTATATTGAAGTCATTACGAGTATATATTGTGGTATGTATGATGTGTGCTAAGAAAAAATTTGAGATAATGCTAACAAAAAAAACGGCGTAAATAAAATAAGTAATATTTGGAAACTGTGCTCGATCACAGCCAACAATTCTCGCAATTATTTACAACGAATTCTTGAATTTCTTAACTTTCACCTGTATTGTCCCGCTCAGAATAAAAATTTTTTAGGTAATCCTCCGCTTCTTTATATTCACTTTTAACTTTCTCCAGTAAATTTGAAATTTTGATTAATGCATCCTCTTCAGAAATGGAATTTGATCCTGTTTCATCCTTCATATTACCGAAATGTTGCATTTTCTCACATGATTCTTTAACCTTCGTGAGACCAATGGCTGCAGAACTCCCCTTAAGGAAGTGTCCTAGTTTTGACAATTCGATAAGATTTTTCTTCTCCCTGGCAATAGGCCAATTATGAGAATACGTGAATTAAAAAAATCGATCATTGTATAGCATTTCATTGCATGGATCTTAAGAATTTAATCTTAGACCCTTAAATACACATGTCGCCAAGTCTAGATTAAATTAAAATATTTATTTTTAAAGAAATAAAAACCTAAGATATTAAAAATTCTTACGCAATCAAAAATAACTTGTATTAAAAAATAAAATATGATGTCGACTTTTCAAAAAGGTAGGAGTATTTCTCTTATTGAAAACGACTAAAGGAATATAATAAAAAGATTTGATTACTTACAAAGCCTTATCCATGTCATCAAAGGTCGTTTCTGCCTGTTCGAAATAATTCAATACTATAGATTTAGAAAAATCGTGGTCCTCGTCGTCATCCATTTCAAGTAATTGATCGAATGTTTCATGATCGATAAGTTCTGTTCTTGAAACTTCTTTTTCATCATCCTTCAAGACATGGGTTTCAGGTTTGAATGACTGTTAAGTAAGGACTTAACCACAAGACGAAAGAACACGAGAATTCAAGTTAGAACAAAGAACATACGGAGGTTACGGGACTCTGCGTTGTTGACATAATTTAGAGAATATACTACGGGTCGTGAAGTTAACAGAACATAACAAATAACTTCACCCTCCAACATATGCGTAATGACATCATGAGATATTTATTTTACCTTGAAATAAATGACATAATATGTAACACAAAAAAGAACGAAATCTAATTTCAAAACGTATATTCAAGTTAGCGTTGCCGATTATTACTACATATATTGACATTTCTTTTTTTTCCACAGCATGATTAATCTTATATAGGTTACCTAAAAAAACTCTTAAACCTATAGTATAACAAAAACAAAAAAATAATTTTTTTTAACCTTAAATTAGGTTAATATCAACAAACGCAATAAATAAACAGAAGCCTTCCTTTTACAATTCTTGTAAAAGAAGTTTTTTAGAAATAACAATATATACGATATGTATTTTTTATCTTTTAACTTATATTATATTATTATTATTTTATTTTTAATAAATATTTTAAAATGTAAAGATAAAATTATATAAATAAACAAATAAATACAGTATATATTATATATATTGAATAATATTATCAAATTATAATTAAAAAGAAAATCAATTTTTAATTAAAAAAAATACTTTATATTTTTTATTATAAATAAATCTTAATTTAAAAATTTAAAAATATTAAAACAACTAATATAATAAAATAAAAATTTTATTTATAGGATATAAATATAAATAATTTTTTAAAAACAAAAATAATTAATATAAAATTTTAAATATATAAACAATATATGTATATATATATATTTAAACTTTAATTTATTATTATTGTTTTTTTTTTTAGTAAAAGATACTTCATACACATGTATTTTTATTAAGTTGTTTATAATTATATATATATTTAGATTATTTTAAGTTAATTTCATATTCTATTTATATATATATTTATCCAATATATCATAAAAATAAATTTAACTTTAATTTATTATTATTATTTTTATAAATAACTTTTTTTTTTTGAAAAAGCAAAAGGTTATTACATTTTATTTTATTATTATAATTTTAGACTTGCAGTATAAGATTTATAACACATTTATAGTATAACATATGTCTCTTTTTGTTAGGAAGAGTTAAATATCAGGCTTCGCAAACGTGGTCCATCTTCTGTACTCCTTAGCACTACCTAAAAATATAGAAAAAGGAAGTTCAAAACTTATATTATGCCTTGAATAGTGTCTAGCTACCTATAAAAATTGGATACCTAGTCATATGAAGACACTACAGCCATTATATATAGGTTGACCTTCAAATCATGATTAGAATTGGCAAGTTTGCTTTTCAAATGTGGCTTGATATATAGCAAATCAAAGTATATTTCACCTTATACTTCCTCTGAATAACTGTTCAATTAGTTAAATGGCCACTACACCGACACAAACATCTCGTAAAGATTAACCTTTTATCTAACTACCTAGTATTTAACCATTTCTACCCTTTTAGAATTGTAATAGATTACAGGTTGACTAGGCCTGTAGCAGTTATCTATATCTGTAGCAAGTAGAGAAGAGGACAGCTACTCTTCATAAAAAGTTTTGTACATATAGTCATACTATTTAAGTATTTGAGTAGAATCCAACACCAATATAAAGCAGAAGGAGATGAAAGAAAGGTGTTTGAACATATAGTGGTAGTTGTTAAAGGAAGTTATTGAATGTAATAGAGCTGGAATTTCTTATAAGTATTGTTATCTAACCTTGTACAATGAGCTTACATTGTCAAGGATAAATGAGAAACTTTTGTTGTCATCACTAGCTCATGTTGTGAGGTAACTAGAATCCCTAATCTTCACATATTATCTTATTAGATTCTTCAATTACCAGCATGACACCTGCCCACTAACCTAGCTTATTGTTAATTACATTGGTATTGGCTGCCATATTTTTCTGGATACAGTAGGATGCAACTTCTTGGATACTTTTGAATAATAATAGTTATATACTGGTTTCTTAGATGTATCTAGTTTAATCATCAATAAGTAAACAATATTGGATTTGATAATGATGACTATATTGATTTTTTGAGGGGTAAACCATCTATTCTTTTTCTGTAAGGCAGTGAAAGAGAGAAAAATTTTGAAGCCTACGTCTTAAGAGAAGTTATTACTTCTGCATATAGTCTTGAGAAAAGAAAGTTGATTGACCAGGAGATTAATGTTATGGAGAGCGAGTTTATAAAAGAAAGAAAAGCCTAGAAAGAAAACCTTTAGGAAGAAGGAAAAACCTAACTTTAATAGGAAAGAGAAAAAAGAAAGAAGAATAAGTTTTATATAAAAGAGTCTATAGAAAGAAGAGGTAAAAATAAGAAAAGGGAAATAAAAAGATATAGAAGAGGAGAAATAAAAGAAAAGGGAAAGGGGTGAGTGAAAAAGAAAGAGTAAACAACTTAAAAGTTTCCTAAAAAAGAAATTTTCAAGCACAGAAGGAAGAGTGGAAAAGAGTTTTTTTTTTTTTATAAATAAATTTTTATAATATTATCTTTAAAAAAACATATATAATTACTTTATATAATAAAAAAATAATGGATTAATCAAGTTTAATCCAAGTAACTAATAAGTTTATTGAAATAATATGGAAGTTAAATATTATTCTAATTATAATTTATACTTTTTTCAAGTTATTAATAATAAAAAATTAGTAACAAATCATTATTTTTTAATAAAATAAAACTTATTTTTATTTAATAAAAGTTTTATATTTAATATAAATTTGTAATTTTTAAAAAAAACATATCAATTATTTATTATAATTTTAAAAAATTAAATAAAAATTATTTTAAAAAATTATTTTAAATATATTAAAAACAATTAATTAATATTTATATTATAAAATTTAAAAATATATTATTAAATATTAATATCACCAAACGAATTACTGAACACCACCAATTCAGCCAAATCAAAAAGAAATCACACTGCTTCTAGCAGAAACTCACACTCCAATAATATTTAAAATGAAACCATCATAGACCTACCGACAATTGTCGCTAACTCTTTTATTCAATATAATTATAACTATAACAAATGTATTCAAAAATTAATCTCATCTCTTC